GAGCAGTTTTGAATTTCTCAGAAAGAATCTCAGATTTACAGGCAAAGACTTGTGCTCAGTGTTATATAAATAGATTGCCCGTATACGGGTGATGCGGTAAGCAAGGTGTAAGAGCTCCTAGGCTTGCTGGGGTGTAACTTTAAGACAGCACAAGCTTCGGACTTGATTAAATCGAGTGAGGTCACAGCTGGTCAACAGCAGCTGATGGATCTTTCTCAGAGGCTGAGAAAAATAACAACCAGTAATTAAAGTCATGTTTTCCATTAATAATAACAACAACAAAAACCCACCAACAATGCGATTCCACATGTCTAGTTTCATGCAAAACTTTCCACACCAGAGGCATATTCTGGTAAGGGCACCTTCAATTCTCATGACCAAAAAGCGGCCTTTTCATATCTAGCTCACCTTAAGGGGATGTCCGGGACTTATGCACCATGCAAATACTGCCATGAGCCTGGCTCCTCGTCTCTCATTTCTACACCAGCCACCTGGAACACTTTACAAACCAGAAGCTGAGCTCAAAGTACGGAACATTTTAGCAGAATAAGCCCAAGAGCTGGGCAAGTTCCAGATGGCAGTCAGCCTGAAAGGGGCTGGAACAGACCAACAAAACTACCGGATTCTATGGGACCTCATGTTTAAGTACAGGTAGCTACTTGTCTTTGTAGTTTGAACTTCATACACCCGGGCATGTGGGGCACTCGGACAATTTGGGCACATCAGAAAGAGCACTGGATTCAGAGTCCAAAGAGGGAGCTTCTAGTCCTGGCTCTGCAACCGGTCAGGCTGAGTGAGGCTTTGAATGTGTCACTTAAAGTTCTGTTCCCCTCAGCTGCCTCGCGTGCAGCTAGCTGGGAGCAAGGTTAGTGCTGGGTGCTCCTAATCAGGCTATTGTGGGGCAGAGAATGAGATCAAGTAGGTCAAAGAGCTTTGGGGTGTTTAAAACATTAAACAAATGTGAGGGAGTTATATTGTGGGAGGGCTAGGGAATTCCCTTCCTTTTCTAGTAGGGAAAGCAAAGTGGAAAAAGTCCATGCTTGTTTTAGCTGTAAGAAAGGATTCGAATCCACCGATTTTATATTGATGAGACAGAATACAACTGTAACAAGAACCTGCATGTGTCATCGTCCTTATTAGAAAATTAACACAAAGTTTAGCCACAAAGTAATGTCACTGATTTTTAAATAAACATGTCTAAGTGGGTGTGGTCCATTCCTGAGTAGTTAGTAGTCACCTTGGCAGGCGAAATACTTATTTAAGTATTTCCCATCATTCAAAAAAAAAAAAATGTAACTCCTCTTTTGGAATTGTTCCCAGAGCCTCTGGCACATTCTCTGACTATGTCTTAGGGTGACAAAGATTTTGTTCTTTGTGGGTAATAATGACTTTGCAAACGGCACAAAGTTATTTGACACAAATGTTGGTAGATAAGCTAAGTACTGCCATTTTTTATTTAAATGGAAAAAAATTCTGTGACTGTAAGACAAAAAGCCTATCTTTCTTTTAGTTCCAACAGAAGAGTTACACATAGTCAGTTTCAGGAATTGGTTTCAGGAATTGTTGGCAAGGGCTGGTTCTATCCTAAGGTGATCACATTAGAGGAGAAAAGCCATTTGGAAATGTATTTTTACATTTTCAGTCACACCTTCATTATTTATCTTGCAACACTGGCATTAGACTGTGTTTCTAGAAAGAAAGGGCATTGCAATCAACCAACTGATCATTATATCAAACATTTGGGGCTTCTGACTCCCTCATCTGCATTAGAATTAACTGCCTAGCAATACAGATGTTGCCGATGAATTAACATCTGGGCCTAGTGGAAATATACACCCAGCAGGTTCAGTTCTAATCAATGACTCTATATTTTCTTTAAAAGTTTGGACTTTTTTCCCTGGCCAGTTTGGCTCAGTGGTTGAGCGGCAGCCTGCAGACCAGAGTCTTGGGTTCGGTTCCCGCCAGGGGCACGTACCACAAAAAAAAAAGTTTGGACTTTTCTCCCGGCTGGTGTGCTCAGTCACTGAGCATCGACCCATATACCAAGAGGTTGCCAGTTCAATTCCCAGTCAGGGCACATGCCCAGGTTGTGGGCCAAATCCCCAGTGGGGGGCATGCAGGAAGCGGCTGGTTGATGTTCTCTCTCATTGATGTTTCTGTCTCTTCCTCTTCTTCCTCTTTCTCTAAAATCAATAAACTAAAACTATTTTAGGGAAAAAAAAAGTTTGGACTTTTTTTTCAATTATGAAAAACTTGTCTGAAAATTAAAATCTCACTACTATCAGTAATCTGCTGGAATAGATTTGCTTCTGGTGCAAGTAAATTGTTACTGTAATTTTAAAATAAACACAATCACACTTTTATTCATTGAATATTGCACACTGTGGGTACTTAAGTTTTAAATGATGCGAAAGACTTTTATTCTTTGGAAAATATTATTTTCCCTACTTCACTTTTTTTATTGTGATAAAATTCACACATCTAATTTATCATTTGATCATTTTAAAGTGAACAATTCATGGTATTTAGTACATTCACAATGTTCTTCAACCATCACCCCTATCTAGTTCCTACACATTTTCATCACCCTAAAGGAAACCCTATATCCATCCATTAAGCAGCCATTCCTTCTTCTTCCCTCCCCCTAGCCCCTGGCAACTACTAAACCATGGGTTTGCCTATTCTGGACATTTCATATAAATGGAACATCATAATATGTGGCCTTTGTATATAGCAGGTTTTCAGGGTTTATCCATGTTGTAGCATGTCAGTATTCCATTCCTTTTCATGGCTAAATAATTCTACTGTGTGGATGTACTACATGTGTTTATTCATTCATCCATTGATGGATATATGGGATGTTCTCACCTTTTGGCTATTCTGAATAATGCTGCCATAAACATAGGTGCACGATATTTTTCTTCAAATGCGTTTTTAATTCTTTTGGCTATATACCTAGAAGTGGAATTGCTGGGTCATATGGCAATTCTGTTTAATTTTCTGAGAAACCACCAAACCTCTAACTCATTTTTACACTTAAATTTCAAGGTGGCTTAATCACCAAGCAGTTAAAAGCAATTGGATTCCTGCAGCCAAACCCAGGCTGGGCTCAAAGTGATTTCTTTTGCAGAAACACTGAGCCAGGCTTGTTCTAACATAAGGTTACAGGCAGGGCTTTGAACAGCTTTCTCTACTGCTCTACGAGTCGCAACATGAACTGGCTGGGCAGGAATACCTTCCTGCCTCCTAGGCATCCTTGGTTCTCCATTATGTTGAACACACTTTTGGAAAAAGAAAAAATAGTTAATTACCTAACTTACAGGCTTCCCTCCCCCCATTTCTGTAGAATTCAGATGAGAATCTGGAGTCCATGTAGAAAGGTGCTTGGCAGCCAAGGATAGGCCCTTGTCCTGGGCAGCAGTTAGTCCTTCCTCGGTTGGAGAACAGAGCCTCCCAAGCACCAGTTGAGACAATAGAAGAGATCTTCCATCCAGGGAAGACTTTTGAGCACACATTTTGCCTAAAGGCACAGCCCCGAAAGTCTGGCCCTCTCAATCCATAGACACCAGAGTTGAACCTACCCCACTGTGTGTGTGTATTGTTACCCTTCGGGCTTGGCCAGGACAATGGGAGATAGTCCTACCACAGGCATTGTTGGCTGCAGCCAATTTACTGAGTCATGAGGCTCCTCAACCATTAATCCAATTCTGACATTAACTGATTAGCATTGATTTTTTAAAAAAACATTTAAACCTGTTTCATGAGCTTCTCAGAGTGCTGGCCTGTTACCTCAACTGCCTAAGACAAAGGTAGTTTCTGAGCTACACGAGCCCAAATCAAGGAGCATTACGGTAGCACTGCCAAAAACAGAGGCAGACTCAAACGGCTTTTTCCACTTGAAACTAGACACTAAGAATGAAGAAGTGGGTTTCCGGGGTCCTTGCTAGCAGTCTCTCTGCCAGCCCAGCTGTCACTTGTGGCTGGTCTCCTGGCAGCCCTTTCAGGTGTCCTGGCCTGGATCTACTCTTAGGACAGAAAAAAAGTCCCTTGGCTGACCATATCCTCTGTAATCTGGCAGGAAACCTAAAGTTCGTCTGCTGCCGTCCAGGGTCTGTTTGCTTATCTGCTTCCTTGTAGGGAAGAGTCTGCATCACAGTGTCCGGTGTCGGGGGATTTTCACCATGACCTCACCCAGCTGCAGCTAGCATCCACCGATTCCGCTCCGCAGCTCTGCAGGGAATCCACGTTAACGAGACAGTGACCGACGCCGCCTAGCTCAGCCCAGATTAACCTCAACTCCAGTCTCCCTCCTCAGTGCGGGGCGGGGGTCTGAGAAGGCCGGGCTGGGTGGGTGGGTGGATGACGTTTGGTTATTGTTTAGGGCTTGGGAGGGCAGGGTGTCAAGGAAATCACCTTAAGAAAATGCACCGCAAACCTCGCAGTCTCGCGCCCACTGTTTGAATAACGTCGTAGCCAATGGCTTCGAAATAAGGCGCGCGCACGGTGACAGCAGGCGGCGAGCCTGAAACCGGGACAGAACGGGGCGGGAGCGGCAGGGGAGGCCAAGGGCAGGGACCGGGACCTGGTTAAGGGCCTTCCGGGCCCCGGGAAACGGGCGCAGCTAATTAAAGGAAACCAGCAAGTCAGGCGCCCCAGGCGCGCGCCCGGCCCCACCGGAGATCACCTGACCGCGGCGGCGGCGCGCACGCGAGCTACAGCGTGACTCGCCGGCCCAGGGCGGCAGGCAGGGAGCGGCCGCGGCGTGCGTGCGCGTGCCCGGGGGGCAGCGAGGGCGCGCACGCCGCGGGGCCACCGCCCCTCCCGGGCCCGCCCTTCTTCCCTCCCTCCCCGGCTCGCCCGGCCCGCCCTGCCCAGCCCGCCCTGCGAGTCAGTTCGCTCGTTCCCTCCCTCCCCCGGCGCGCTCCGGCCTCGGCAGTGCTCCCCGCCCTCGAGCCGCGGTGCCGGAGTCGCCCGCCGCCCGAGGAAGAGGTGGAGGGAGCCAGAGGGGCCCGCCGAGGCGGCGGCGGCGGCGGCAAGATGGCGGACTTCCTGCCGTCGCGGTCCGTGCTGTCCGTGTGCTTCCCCGGCTGCGTGCTGACGAGCGGCGAGGCCGAGCAGCAGCGCAAGTCCAAGGAGATCGACAAATGCCTGTCCCGGGAGAAGACCTACGTGAAGCGGCTCGTGAAGATCCTGCTGCTGGGTGCGGGCGAGAGCGGCAAGTCCACCTTCCTGAAGCAGATGCGGATCATCCACGGGCAGGACTTCGACCAGCGCGCGCGCGAGGAGTTCCGCCCCACCATCTACAGCAACGTGATCAAAGGTGCCGGGCGGGGGTCGGGGCCGGGGCCGGGCGCGGGGCCGGGAGGCGGCGGCCGGCGCGGGGCCGGGCACCGCCCTCGTCCGCTCGGTCCCTGCTGGAGGACCGGGCCCAGCGGGCTGGCGGGCGGGCGGGAAGGGGGCGCGCCCGGGACGCCGGTCCTGCCGCGCGGGTGCCTCATCCCCCGGGGGAGGGGACGCGCCGGCGCTGCCGCTTTCCTTCTGCAGCCCCGGTGGGGGGCGCGGCTGGTCTCCCACCCCGCCCTCCGAGAGGGAAGTGAGGCGCGCCTGGTGCCCAGGAAGACCCGAGAGCCAACCCCAGACCCTGCACCCCCACCCCGGGCTGCGGCGCTGCCTGCCCAGCCTCTCCGTCCCGGGTGGGTGACCCGAGTCACATGGGGTCGGTCTGCTCCCAGCTCCCTGCTTCCTTGGCCGCCTCCTGAGCAAGGGAGTTCTGGAACCGTCGCAACAAGGAAACTTTTGCCCGAGACTTGTCAAGGGCAAAGGGTGACAGTCGCTGGGCCCTTTTGGAGAAGGATATGAAACTTGAAGGTGTCATGTTTGCTGGGCAGGTATGAGGGGAGAGTAGACCCGTTATAGTTGGTCTTAAAAAAATGAGCATCAGTGGTTTTTCGCCCGTGTCACGGCTGGGCAGGATGTTTGCCTGTAATCACTATGCAACACGTTCCACTCTCTCTCTTTTTTTTTTCTTTCTTAATAACTTGGAGGGGTGGTGCACCACAATTTGCTTCTATTATTTAAATGAGCTTGAGCACTGATACAAAGACTCTAAAAACGATGTGGAGGCTGTACAGGCAGTCAGCCAGTGTCAGCTTGGATCGTAGACTCTGCTGTCTGACATTATTTTAAAAATGAAACTTAAGCTTTGTTTTTAATTGAAAATACACAAGAATTTTATTTCTGGGATTTCAGGGAATTAGAGAAGATATATATATATTTTTTATTTTGTCATTTGAGTGATAAGTAGCACTTCTTTTTCTTGGTATCAGGTGTTTTTTACTTTATAAAAGACATTTTGGCTACATTGAGATACAGAGCTGGTACTTAAAGTGCGTCCAGATTTTCTTTATTTCATCTGGGTAGCAATTATCTGGGAGTTTGCAACAGATTTCAGGTCTTTCCAGTGTTTTTTAAGTGGGATTTTTTGGTTGTTGTTAGGGAAGCAGTTTAGCAATCCTTTGGTTCACTTTTTTCTCCCTGGACTGAGTAGAGGAAAACTGCCTTGGAGTGGGGTGTGTGTGTGTGTGTGTGTGTGTGTGTGTGTGTGTTTGGGGGTGGGGTTGTGTTGTGGGGTAATGACCCCAGAAGAGCACTAGGCCGGGAGCTCACAAACCACAGTGAGTTCCTGGCCTAGTACCACTGCAGTTAAGCTGTATAAAACAGTTGCATTAATCCTATCTTAATGTTTGGAGGCTGCAGACTCCACCCCTCCAGTTCTTAATTCAAGGTACCTTTGTATTCTGATGCAGCTGAGCTTTCAGAAATTATGTCAATGAACAGTCAACATGTTAACTGACCATGAGCCAGGTAGATACCTGCTTAAGTGTGCTAAGTGTGACCTACTTTGAGCATTGAGTATAAGATGAAATAAGTCACTGGACATCTAATTTTTTGAGTTGGCATGATCAGAAAATTGACAGCAAAACAGTTATTTTAATTATCCAGACAAATGAGTTGTGTGACTATTTGATGGACCAAAGATAACAGTTTAGTGATAGAGATATTGGGTTTGAACTGAACTCTGTAAGTTGAAATCTCTGTTTTTATACCTTTTTTTTTGCATTTGATCTTCCTTTTAGGGAAGTCTAATGCCATCCTGTGACTTAACACTGATGTGAAGTTTGGCATGGGACAAGTTTTTTGAGTCTTAATGTGTTCCTGAAAGACTCAGTGTTGGATTAAGCAGGATGCTCAGGGACCAAATACAACCCGAGCGATAATGTTTAAGTACTTGGCATTTTGTGAATGAATGTCTTTTTGAGCGACTCAGAAAATCTTGGTTGCAGCTGCTTTCTTCAGAGCCTGGATATCAGTCTACGCAGCATAATTTCTTTTTTCTTCACTATTTGTGGTTCTCTTGTGACTACCTTCTAGCTCAGAAGTTGTTTTATTAATTAGAATATGTTAAAATCCTTCAGAAAGAGCATTTAATAGTATATGCTTGTCACGGCTCTGATTTTATGACTGTGAATAACTTAGTTTTTTAAAAATTCTGAGACGTTATGGATGTCTGTTTTGATGTTGGTCTCCATTTTTGGAGGAGGTGGGCCTGGAATAGTTAAGAAGTTTAAGAATATAGCCCTGGCTGGTTTGACTCAGGGGGTTAGAATGTTGGCCCCACAGACCAATGAGTCTCTGGTTCAATTCTAGTCAAGGGCAGATACCTCGGTTGTGGTTCAGTCCCTGGCCCTGGTCGTGGTCCTGTGGGAGGCAACCATCAATGTGTGTCTCTCTCATATCGGTGTCTCTCTCGTATCAATGTCTCCACCCCCCAACTCTTATCTGAAGATAAATGGAAAAATATCCTCAGGTGAGGATTTAAAAAAAAAAAGTTTAAGAAAATAATACTGGAACAGACTATGAGAATATAATGACTCCTATTACATTTTTTTTTTTTTAACCTAGGTATGAGGGTGCTGGTAGATGCTCGAGAGAAGCTTCATATTCCTTGGGGAGATAACTCAAACCAACTCCACGGAGACAAGATGATGTCATTTGACACCCGTTCCCCCTTGGTGGCCCAAGGAATGGTGGAAACTCGAGTTTTTTTACAGTATCTTCCTGCTATACGAGCATTATGGGCAGACAGCGGCATACAGAATGCCTATGACCGACGTCGAGAATTTCAACTGGTAAGAGAGTTGTTCTTTTTAAATGTTGTGATTTTATTTTAATGACATTTATTATCTGAGTCTTATATACCCTTTTCCCTGACTTCTACACAGATATGTATCTGTGCAGAATTTTATCCTCAGAAATTGGGGTTGCTGTATAGATGAGCTTTTTACTAAGCAAGGTAAACCCCTTAGATTTGGTGAAGCTGGTAAAATTAATAGGTCATTTTTCCTTTTTGAAGGTAAGATTATAATGATATTTGTAGGCACTTCTAATTTTGTTCTCCTTTTGAAAACAATTACTTCCCAATTACAGCAATAATATTCATCCTTCTAAACTAGGTTCACATGTGCTGTTTAGTCTTTAGAGCAGGAGTAGGGAACCTTTTTTCTGCCAAGGACCATTTGGGTATTTATAATATCATTCTCAGGCCATACAAAATCATCAACTTAAAAATTAGCCTGCTATATTTGGTCAGGCTAATTTGGTGAGGCGTGTGATATTAGCCTACGGGCCGGACGTTCCCCACCCTGGGTAGAGGAACTCATTTTATGATACAGATTAATATAGCACGAGATTCTAGTCCTTAATAATGTTTAACAGTCATTGTGTTTTTATATATTTGTATTCTGTTTTTGCATGTGTGTTTTTTTTAAGGCTTTTAAGCACATTTTATAAAATGATTCCTTTTTTTTTTCAAAGCAAAAAATTTACTGGGCAAACTAAACAGGTGTCCTATTCCATTTGGGCTGTAACAACAAACTATGATAGACTTACAAACAACAGAAATGCATTTTCTCACAATATTAGAGATTGAGAGTCAAGATCAAGGTAGTGGCAGATTCAGTGTCTAGTGAGGGCCTGCTTCCTGGTTCATAAATGGCCTGCTTCCTGCTCTGTCCTTAGTTGGCTAAAATGTATCTTCTTAAACAAAAAAAAATGTTAGTTATTTTATTGGATCTCTTGTTTCACATGGGAAGTGCTTAGATTTTATTTTACATTTATTTTTTCTACTTTGTCTTAAACAAGACTACCCATAAAACTTCGTAGCTGTTACAGAGCATTGAAGAGAGGGTGGAAGAGAAAGGATCCAATCTAGGTTAAAGATACAAAAATAATAATTGAGATAGGTTTTTTAAATCAAGCGTTTTGTAATTTAATTGTGAGTGTTTTGATTTGATTGTGTTCTGGGTTTTACTTGCCAAAGACCGGAAAGATCCCAGGGATGATAGTAATCTAGACTATTCAATTTGGAGGTCGTTCTGATCTGAACTGTTTTTACTGTAGTGTGATCAAAATAAAGCAACAGTTACAAGTAAAAGTGCTTAGAAAGTTGTTTGGTGATGTCTCCGGCATTGAAGTAATCCATAGTGGGTGTGGCTACAAAATGATATATAGCCAGCTGTCTTTGCTGTTACAGTTTGTACTCAGAAGCAGGCTTAACTATTGAACGTTCTAGAAAAGTGTTCTGGATGACTTTGTATAAAAGGGATACTTGAATCTGTCTCTGAATTATGCCTCTCGTGTGTGTCATACAACCTAGCACTTGATCACGTGCTGTCTTGTATGTTTCTCTCCTTCAGTGTGTGTGTCTTGTCAGGTAATCTGTCCTTTAATGAAGGCAGAGGTTACTTCACATTATTGTTAAAATTGAGTAGCTGGCAGCATTTTCTGTTGAAAATTATGAGTTTAAGTTAACAATCGACCTCCATCCACTTCTTAGACTTATCTTTGTCCTTTGGTCAGTGTTTGCTGTATGAGTGTTGGTAGTCTTGCATAAGTTCCTCCACACAACCCTTCCCATCTCCCTTCACCCTCTCTCCTGTCTTTCAATGCTGCTTATTCTCCTTTCTTCCTAATTCGTTTTCTCAACAAACCACACTTTCCACTCTTAAGTTTTTTTAGGATGTTATTTATCTTTCCAGGTCGGGGAAGAAACACCATCTGTAATAGTATACGGTCCATATTGATGGAATGAATAAACAAACTGTATTCTAAAGTTCTCTGTAGGAAAGGTCTATAAGTCCTTGAATTTGGACGTTCACTTCTTACAGTCTCTTATCAAGGCTGTCGTTGCATTCCTACGTATTTGTCATTAAGAACAAATAGGTAAAACCACTCAGGATGAGGACCTGCATGTTCTTGACTTGAGCCAGCTGATGCTTCAGGAGCAAAGAAGACATTGGGCAAGGAGAGACAATAACATTCTAGAAATGTTATTTTCCTGATAAAAAGTAGGAACACCAGAAGAGAGGAACAGGGCAAGATCTAATTTTAAACTCCAGTAACGGGTTTTTTCCCCCCTGTGTGACCTTGGCGTTGTTAGTGGTACCTGGCACTCAACTGTTACATTGAATTAATGATTCTCATACTTTTTGGATGCTCTGGTGCTTGGTATAGTGTCGGACACTGGGAAGGCACTTGGCTCATTTAAAATTTTCCTCAAAGTCATATTTGGTTCCTTTCTTTTCTGTCCCTGCAACATCTCTTGCATCCATTCCCTCCTCTTCTCCTCTCCATTATTGTCCTAGTACCTCTTGCTTGGACTCCTAGGTAATCTTGGTCAAATACAGCATGAGTTTGCTGAGAAAGCTTTGCTCATTCTCTGTTGCTTCCAGAACAGAGTTCAACCTCTTTATTTGAGTCAAGATTCTAGGTAGCTTACCTATGATTCCAACAATATATTCATTATATTTTATTGGACCACTACACATGCCCTGTAACCCTTCAGTTTTTATATACCTGATGATCTGCTTCCACGGCTCTCCACAAAGTCCCTCCATTAAGGTTTTTAATTACCGTCTGTTCTTTAGGTCCTACCCATCACTTAGAACAGCGGTAATCAAATTTTAATGTGACTAAATCAAGTCCATGGACCCCTTGAATCAGATTTACTAGGATGCTTGCTTAATACAAAACCAAACAGATTCCAAAACTTTATCGCAAGGGGATCTGATTCAGGAATCTGGGATGGGACCCAGTGTTCTGTATTTTTAGCAGACAGCCCTAGGCAATTTGGATGAAATTGTTCCTTGGCCACACTGAGAATAAGTGCTTTAGGATCAAAGCTTTCCCCAGTCGTCCTGGCTGGAATGCCTCTCTGCCCCATGCTATCGGTGGTATGGGTGGTATGCTTGTGTTCTAACCCTCATCTAAGTCACATGTGTTTGAGTTATTTGCATTCTTGTTTGGTTCTTCCACTAAAGTAGAGGCTTCTTTGGTATGACTTGTTTGTCTTTTCCTCACTAACATAGGGCCTGACATTTATTTTATTTCTTCATTTTTTTAGACATTCCAAATTAATAAGGTTGTTCTAGAAAACAAGAAACATCCTACATTCAGTTCCTTCCAGGAAATATGAATTATTTCTGTATGCTAATTTGTTAATTTTCCAGGAGATGGGAAGTTCTTGTATTACAGAAATTTTTTTCATTGTTTAATAATGTAAATTCTTGAATCTTGGCTAGAAAAAGTAAACCAGGAAATGGGAGGAGTTAGAAGGTAAAATTCGTCATTTTTCTTTTAAATAACAACTGATTATTAAACTTATTAATGCAAATGGAAACTTAATGCAAATTGAAATTAATGCAAATTGAAAAAATGCATCGGTTTTTAAGCCTCTCTGGCTTTTTTGCTGTTATTAGTCTTTGGGACTAAGGATAGGACAGTGATATCACAGCTTAGGTTTTTAGCAGTCCATTCGTTTGTTTAGTAATAACTTTGGGTGCAAACACGAATGGTTTTTTTCCCCACGTTCTCAAAGGCAAACATTTCCTTTTCTGGTTAGTTTCATTATGGGTAAGCTAAATAGCTTACTTTGGAAAAAGAATCTAATCTGTTGTTCTTATAGCATAAGGTACTGTTCTAGTTCTTATATATTAGCACACTGAGCATAATACCTGTATGCTAAGAAATGGTCTCTTTTAGTACTGGGCTGAATGTTTGTAATGCTCAGCTTTGGCTGTACATTCACCACAGCCTGCCACTGTACTAAGGAAACACCCTTTCTTTAGAAAATCCTCTTATGTGACAATACTAGGGAATTTGGTTAGATGACTATAAAGAGATAGGAGTCCAGGGTTGGCTCCGGAAATGAAACAACTGGAGATATGTAGTAAAACTAACAAAATAACTAGGAATTACTGCCAATTAAATTTTTTGGACTCTTAATATATCGTTACTTATTCAGAAATACAAGCAAAATTTGTAGAACTGATTATAAAGGACAGGAAAGTGTGTGTCACTAGAAGGAATACTCTAGAGCAGTGGTTCTCAACCTTGGGGGTTGAACGACCCTTTCACAGGGGTCGCCTAAGACATAACAGTAGCAACATTACAGTTATGAAGTAGCAACAAAAATAATTTTATGGTTGGGGGTCACCACAACATGAACTGTATTAAAGGGTTGCGTCATTAGGAAGGTTGAGAACCACTGCTCTAGAGTTTCCTAGTTTCTATAAACAGTTTAACATTGTCAACATTGTTACAACTTCCTGTAATAACTAGTCTTTCTCTATAATCCCTGAAACCAAACTATTTTGTTATTAGGGTACCTTCAGTCAGACTTAATTTTTCTTACTCAAGTACAGTTTGTGCTTGACATAGATACACTTCTCCAAGCTGATAGGATAGTTTATTCTTTGTAACAAAGTAACTATTTAATCTCATGCATTGGCTGCAGAAGAGAGCCCAGAGCTAAGTAAAGTAAGAACTTCAGGTTGGGGTCAAGTATTTATTTGCACTGCAGCATGGATTTGAAATAGAGTTAGAGGCATTGGTTTATTCTTTAACACTAATTTGGATTTGCTTTAAAAAGTGAATCAATTACTACGTTCAGTTGTAAACTATTACCACGTTTCTGTTGGAGAAGGATTTGGTTCATTTTCTCTATGAATAAAAGCAAAACAGGACTTTGACTTAAAGTTGCTAAATACCTGTTTGCTGATTCTAGGGTTAGGGTTAAATATTTCAGCCTGTAGAAGGTAAGGATTATATATAACATTAAAGGTTGTAGAGA